TCTGATAAGCAACATGTACTATTATGATGTCAATTGTGAAATCAAAGGAAAAAATAAAGTGACGTCATGAATTCATGCCGTGAAGGTAAAATATATTAAGTATCTCACCACCATCATTCCACAAACAAAGCATTGTAGTTGTCAGCGCGGCGCTGATTGGTCAATTAGCCATGGTCATATGAAAGCGGGGTGCTGATTGACTGGCAGTGCGATTTCTGCGCGTACTGTTATTCCGTTTACTATAGGCCTCTAAATCCCAAAAATCTGAAAATATATTGTCATTCGTTTACTTGAAAAGTCGAAGGTATTGACCCTCCAGTCCACAGAGCACCATGGAGCCGTTGGTGGTAAGTCTTATAGCCATCACAGTGGGGTTTAGGCGCGGGAGTTAGTGCGACATTTAATGTACATGAACCACAGGATACAACTTCCCCAGAGAGGGAACGTTGAAGTTTTACAGTTGACACGTGCACTGTCACTGTAAAGAAATATCATGACCACAAGGGAAATAGTTTATGGTGTATAAAGCATGATAGTTGGTTGATGACATAGTTGACATATTAAAGAGAACAATCTAGAACTTAACAGGTAAAAAGTACTCAGAGGAAAATGGTCATTCCAAGTGTTGGAAGAATATCTCGAAACAAATTACCATAGTTAAGAACGGGAACATTGTTCCCATAGTTGGGAACGACTAAACGTATTCTCACAAGAAAAGTGTTCCCACATCTGGAAATAGAAATGTGGGAAAAACATATGATAGATGTCTTTTTCCCCTAGCTTGCTTTGGTGGATTTGCTGGTCATCTGGTTATCTGGTCATCTGGTCATCTGGTTATCTGGTCATCTGGTTATCCTTAGCTTCTGAAGACCAAATAGAAATTGCATTCAACTTGTAAAGTAACGTAAGGACTCGTTTATATTACTAAAATATTCCGTCAGTATTGTTCCTTTGATGAGGCATACAGAGAAATCTAACTTATGTAGAAATACAAACTCGAGGAATGGAGTTTTCATCTTGTAGATTTTTTTATATTTTTTTATATTGGGTTTTTTTCCTCAATTTTTTTGTTACATCTACATCAAACAGACATTACACACAAACTCTCACTTGTAGACAGAAGCATGCGTTTCTCAATCATAGTCATTTATACACATCATCATCATCATCATCTTGTAGAATGTTGATATACGAACTGAATGGTATTGAATAGCTGTCATTGCTGTATAGCTACCGTCAACATTTAACATTCATACTTTATGAACTATGTATGTTAGTTGATCCATGCAGACATTTAACATTCATACTTTATGAACTATGTATGTCAGTTGATCCATACAGACATTTAACATTCATACTTTATGAACTATGTATGTAAGTTAATCCATACAGACATTTAACATTAATTCTTTATGAACTATGTATGTTAGTTAATCCATACAGCCATTTAACATTCATACTTTATGAACTATGTATGTTAGTAAATCCATACAGACATTTAACATTCATACTTAATGAACTATGTATATAAGTTAATCCATACAGACATTTAACATTAATTCTTTATGAACTATGTATGTTAGTTAATCCATACAGCCATTTAACATTCATACTTTATGAACTATGTATGTTAGTAAATCCATACAGACATTTAACAGTCATACTTTATGAACTATGTATATAAGTTAATCCATACAGACATTTAACATTAATTCTTTATGAACTATGTATGTTAGTTAATCCATACAGCCATTTAACATTCATACTTTATGAACTATGTATGTAAGTTAATCCATACAGACATTTAACATTAATACTTTATGAACTATGTATGTTAGTTAATCCATACAGACATTTAACATTCATACTTTATGAACTATGTATGTTAGTTAATCCATACATACATTTAACATTCATTCTTTATGAACTATGTATGTAAGTTAACCCATACAGACATTTAACATTCATACTTTATAAACTATGTATGTAAGTTAATCCATACTGACATTTAACATTCATACTTTATGAACTATGTATGTTAGTTGATCCATGCAGACATTTAACATTCATACTTTATGAACTATGTATGTTAGTTGATCCATGCAGACATTTAACATTCATACTTTATGAACTATGTATGTTAGTTGATCCATGCAGACATTTAACATTCATACTTTATGAACTATGTATGTTAGTTAACCCATACAGACATTTAACATTCATACTTTATAAACTATGTATGTAAGTTAATCCATACAGACATTTACATGTCATACTTTATGAACTACAAATGTATATATGTTAATTATTTCATACAGACATTTAACATTCATTCTTTATGAACTATGTATGTTAATTAATCCATACAGACATTTAACATTCATACTGTATGAACTATGTTTGTTAATTAATTCATACAGACATTTAACATTCATACTTTATGAACTACAAATGTATATATGTTAATTATTTCATACAGACATTTAACATTCATACTTTATGAACTATGTATGTTAATTAATCCATACAGACATTTAACATTCATACTTTATGAACTATATATGTTAATTAATCCATACAGACATTTAACAAAATACCGTTTAGACTTGTAAAAATGTTTTATTATATTAATATTTAGAAAAGCAGATAACCTTGGTTTTAGAATACCTGAGGTTCTATTTATGATATCTGAAATATCTTTCCTATTTCTCGCTGTATGTTCTTTTATTGTAACAACCAAGGAATTTAAGGTGGAAATGTTGCCTAAATGGCAAACTAGCTTTTCCAGCGAAACGATTAAATCCAGGAACCTGCTCAATAACTCAGCAATGCGGGCGTGGTCAGTGGGTTGGATGGGTGCCCGCCCCTCGTTACACCCCCATCCATGATCGCGATAAACACTTTGATTCTGAACTGAGATATTTATTAACTTCTGTGAAGTGTTACCTGAAACGATGCACTCCGTGTGAAAGTGATAGCGTGTTAATTAAGTTTCAGAAAACTATACTCATTTGACTGCTGATCTGATAGGCATTTCATGATTATTTTTTTAAAGCAAATATTTAGTATGTTTCTACTTTAGTATAAGTACAATTATTCATTTATTTATATAAATAGTTGCTAAATGCCTATGTGATTCTTAATATAGTTACTGACATATTGGAAAGACGGTAGGTATGCCAATTTGTTTGGCTTTCTGGTGGCAATCACCGATAAGTCTTATTTTTGTGTAAATATATTTGGTCTTATACCGTCATTATATGTTACGAAGTTTAAAGAGATATGAGGGGGTAAAGTGGGGAATTAAAATGATAAATTGTCTCATATTGGCAAAAATATTAAAATGTGTATTAAAATTTTCTTTATAATTTTGATGTATTGTTATGTCATAAAACCGACTGAAACAACCAGCATATAGACGATAAGTGTAAGTCAACATAATTCACGGCCCTTTTTCAAAAAAAATTCCTTCATTTGTTTACCTCAAATTGTCGTCATACCGCCATTTCTTTTCAGGGAAAATGGTGGCCGTATAACGAAGTTTTACTGTACATCCTTTATTATCACAATCAAAAGTTGGCTTGTAAGTTAGCAATTTGGTACGCTAGTATCTGAGGTACTGAAATGGTGGCCGTATAACGAAGTTTTACTGTATATCCTTTATTATCACAAACAAAAGTTGGCTTGTAAGTTAGCAATTTGGTACGCTAGTATCTGAGCTCCTGAAATGTAAGCCAAATTGCTTTTTACTATTGTTGAAAACTACTACTTACTGGATCATGAGGTAACTATATATATCACAAGTTGCATAATAGATATGCTAAAAGTCCTCTCATAGATATGATATAGACCTCAATGTAAATAAATATGTAAGATGTGTGTCAGGGTGTGGTAATACATCCCATTATGTAAGCCAAAAATATCCATTTTAACTATGGAGTTTGAAGCAATGGCACATACAAATTTCAATTATTTACTATTATTTTGTCGACTGTTCATAGTTTTATCAAGGTACTGTTAAAATACAACTTTGTTTCTATTCCAATAGGGTAGTGAGACACACTAATTTGTTCAACAACCAATGATAAAGTAGTTGTTTCTTATGAATCAAAATAAAAAGAAGAAGGTAAGAACACCAAGTTTGATGTATTTAAGAACTACAAACAGCGTTCAGGGGAGACCCCTCTGATCTTTTCGAACTCGCACAACTTCGGTGCATCACGATTTCAAAATTTGGTGAAACAGAATTAAGTCCCACCCAGAGCTAATCCTACCTACATATGTTTTCTACCTTCAGAACATTCTTGTTATGAACTTAATCATCTGTAATAGTACGTATGGTTAGTACTACTGTGTGTTATTATCAGATAAAACGTTAACACTTAACCTGTAGGTTATCATTAACTGAAGTTTTTTAACTGTGTTTGAATATGTCTAGCAAATGGACCATAATGAATTCCTCCCTGAGGCCGTATGCTTGCTTTTTAATGATTTACGCATATGTAACCAATTAATGTCTGCTTTGTGAGCAATCTTTTGTTATCGCCAGCAAATGAATATCATTACCAAAACGATGGTATATAAATGAGTAAGTGTTGCAATATAATAAACACTCGTTTCATTATCAACTACAGCGACACTTTAACGGTAAGTTAATTCCTTTTTAAGTGAAGTTAGATTGTAATTGTGTAGATATCTCTATGTGTTGAGAAAAGTTTAGGAGTATTTAATATAGATGGAACATAAAAATAATCAAAAACAGTATGCTATTTTTACAATATAAGGGTGGTGTAGGATTTCCTTAATAATATAGATATATATTATATGTCATTCTTCTATATTATAAAGATATATATATATATATATATTTATAATCACCGTTTACTAATCCAATCATTAGGTATGTATTTGGGGTTTGTCTCGAGCTTTCGCGACTTCTTACAACATCGCAGATGACGTTTTTTCTTGAGCTTGCAGATCTGTTGCACTGAGAATTTTAATGTCTTTCATGTTCGAATATAATGTTCATCAAATTCATTTTCATAGTGTGAAAGTATTGGTGAAAATTGCGAGGTACGAATTTATTGTACTCTTTAAACATTTGCTTTTTTATTGTAATTGAAGGAATAGTAATTGAGATTTGCGGTGACAGTATTTTTCCTTTTTCGAATAAATGTGTTTAAATATGTTAAACTGCATAGTATTTTTTTGTCACTTTGCTTACAATATTAAAGATATACAATACATACAATAACATAACAGAAGCAATCCAAATAATATGAAATAAACAAAATTTGATTGCTTGATATTTATTTACCTTGTATGTTTTTTTTAAGATTTGTGAGAAATATTGTTGCATATGATAATATAATATAATCGAAACATTTTTGTTTTGTTAGGTCTACCCCTCCATCACCATGAAGTTTTCAATCACCGCCAAAGGCCTTTGTCTTCTGTTGTGGATGGTTGCCTTCCTCCACGAAGGCCAAGCACAAATGTACGTGTTTTCACTCTATAATATATCACTATAAATAATATTAGGAATAGTTCGAAAATGAAAGATATAATTCACTTGGATATGTCATGTGCTTTTGTTAATACTTTAAGTTATTTCTAGAGCAAGCAATTATACATTGCATGAGATAAAACAAGTCATATATGAGGGATGTGAAGGGAACATTCATATTTTTTTCCCTGTCGCCTTTTGGATATCGGCGTGTCTGCCATAGATAAAACAATTTTCGATCTGTTTAAAACACTCATGAACGAAATTCCCAGACAAATAACATCATATCTCACAACTATATTGATAACAGCGAAAACCAATACGTGTACACCGTATTTCAGTAATGAAATAGACGATAATATCACAAATATTGAAGTCATTTAAACGGGCTGTATATGTCACACTTCAGTTTCAAATCGGGTAATGTTTTGATTCGAAAGGATTCATATATAGTCAACTACTGGTATCAATCACAAATGTTTCCTATATCTTCGCTGGCATTTGTGATTAGGAAATTAAATGAAATTGTACCTGTGTAAATATTCTCGAAACCTTTTTTTTTTTTTTTTTTTTGGGGGGGGGGGGGTAGCATTTCCGGTAAATTATTCATTGATCTTGTTCAATGAAATGAAATAAAAACACTTCATAACAACTTTTTAGAATTGTAGAAAGGTTATGTATCACAACCAGTAAGTGTACACCTTTGTGTACATAGGCTTAACTGGTCATTTGACTGATGAAGGTGACAGGGTACGTATCGTACAGGTCACCAAAACGTCACACATACACACTAACTGCTTATGATACATAACCTCTCTACATTTCATACTTACCAACTTGAGAAATGTAAAGCAACGTTGTAAAATTTCTAGGGTATATACTATAGTATACCAGGAATCGTTTGCCCAGTCCAATTTTCGGCCTACGCGGATGGAAAGTGTTTTCCATCTTTGGGTTTTTTCGCCGGGTATAGAATTAAAGTAGGATATTATATATATGTATGAATGTATGTAATGTTACAACAAGTAAAAGTCTACGACAGCTCTATTGAGGATAATGCATATCAGATGTGCTACTTCATAGCCTATAGTCTATTCATCGAAGCGTGTTTCTCACCTGCGAGAGCGGGACATCGTTTTAACGTAGATGTCACTGTCTGACAGGACGCTGATATCATATGATAAACAGTTTTTCACCAATGTATCGCTTTGTATAGGTAGAGTAAAAAGAAACTGGGCGATATATGCCAACTTGAAGGGTACTTCCTCCTTTGATCTCGGTATTATTGAACGTTGTTATAAAAATATGGTTTATTTACAGCAATACACAAAGGCACCGTACCACTGACGTTATCTGTAACTATGACTAGAAAAATGTTATTATCGAAATAGAAATAGTTTTCTTTAAATCCAATGCTTCCGGATTTTTTGTTTCTAAAATATAAATCAAGATGTAATTTAAAAAGGTAGTGTTCTGAGAGTAAAACTGCAAAGTTGTGCGACCGAAATACATTTGATCACAAGACGGTCGCTATTACCAACTTAATTGTCTGATCAAGTTCTCTCTCTTCATTTATATCCAAAACAGAGTTAAGGGGAAGTTACTGTTTGTATGGCAATCACCATAGAGTTTTCTATGATTGTTCCTACAGTGTGACACATTGACCCCTGGCATTTTATAATGAACTATTCCAACCTTTGAATTGGAAGCGTTCAAATGTGTCTTCAGAGATGAATGAGTTTAAACGACTAATACTAAGAACGAACAGGTTCGTATGATTTGGCCCAAACACACATGTACATTTTACTGCCAATCTTTACTATTTGAAGCTCTGATTTTATCCTTTATATTTCACTCTGAAATTAACTAAACATTTAAATTTCGTGTAGTATCTATTTTCATACAATCTGCAGTCGATACACATAAGTATATCATACAGCGAAAAAAATACATATCCGACTTTCTATTACCTATTATGTTGGTTCAGTTTACCGTCGTCCTAACTGTAGTCTATTATTTCTATTCTACAAACACAAGAGCGCGAAAAAGACGCATTTGTTGTGATTTTGTATCAAACATTAACTATGTAAACCAACGAAAAGGGAGGTTTTACAGTAACACAAGGGAGGTTTTACAGTAAGACAAGGGAGGTTTTACAGTAACACAAGGGAGGTTTTACAGTAACACAAGGGAAGTTTTACAGTAACACAAGGGAGGTTTTACAGTAACACAAGAACATTTTCTTTGCAGCTGTCCGCTCGGATGCACTCCACAGTACGAGTTAATAACTGAGTCATGCAGAAAATTGATCTTTTTTCGGAGACGGTGTACAAGGTAAGCAACGCCATATTGCAGAATAGCTATTTGTAATAGACAAATTGCAGAATAGCTATTTGTAATAGACAAATTGCAGTATAGCTATTTGTAATAGACAAACTGCAGTATAGCTATAAGTTATAGACAAATTGAATAACAGCTATTTATAATAGACAAATTGCAGTATAGCTATTTGTAATAAACAAATTGCTGTATGCTATTTTTAATAGACAAATTGCAGTATATCTTTTGTAATAGATAGATGTAGTTAAGTTATAAATTTGTCTAAATCACGCTTTCACAATTGGTACGCTACCCACAATGATAAATGGCTAGAACATTTTTCTCATAGCATTTTTAAATTAAATTTGTGTTTTTTTCCGCTAATTGTATAACACAGCGATATTTATCAGCATTTCCACTTGATGGCTTTTTTTATCGACATTTTAAGAGTGTAGGATGAATCATTCAAAATATGTGATGCAGAGTTTCAAAAACGTATCGAATAATATCTTAATTTTATTTCGTTTTAGCAAGTAAAATATACGAAATAAGTCTAATCTAATAAATACGTAATTTGACGGGAAAACATTCAATATTTTCTATTTCCGTTGTTTCGAATTATATACAGGAAAAAGTTATATATTCACTGCAATTATAAATATCACTGGTGAATATTCAACGAAAATAGAAAGAGAATACAATACCAATGAATATATAACTGATCAGAAATATTGAAAGCGCCGTTATTTCACAGTTTTAGTCCTAATTGTTCAGTATGCATGGTAGTCTAGTGGTAGGACGCCGGGCTCGTGACCGAAGGGTTGCGTGTTCGAGTCACGGCACTGTGTTGTATCTTTGAGCAAGATACTTTACTCCGCTTGTTCCAGTCTACTCAGCTGTAAATGAGTATGTGGTTGGGCAGTTCTATAATTATTGAATGCTAGCTGTGAGCGCCGCATTGGCAGCTCCGGCTGTATGCTCCCCAGTGAGTTGCGAAAGATATTGGCTGGTTGCAAAGGCACTATAACCACGGATAATAATTTGTGAACCGCTTTGAGACGACTTTCGAACTAGGTTGTGATAAAGCGATATATAAGAACCTCAAATTTTTATTAATATTATTATTATTAATAATAATTTTATTGCTGTGTGTATTCTATTTTACATATATGTTAAAATAAGTGATGTAGACTAGATATGTTTAACAGCGGCTGACAAAGTATTGTTTGTTTAGTAATGCATTGTTTATATATTTTAGAACCATACTGAAATGCAATTGTGGTGAGTATATATTTATAATTTCCAAGGAACTTCAACAAAATAGTGATTTATCTGGGCATTTTGTGATTACTGTTAATAGATTGTCAGTTGGCAGTCGGATAAAACATCCCAACCAATCCTCACACCGAACACACGACACATACCATCAGGTCGTATCGTGCAACTCGAATTCACATTCATAATTAGGTAACGGCATCAATAAACCTCTAACTTATTTACTCTTTATAAAAGTTACTCATTCAATATAATAGATTTTGCAAGGAGTTATTCCTCTGACAACCGTAAGTTAGTCCAAAATTAAGTCACTTTTCAAAATAACTCCGTCGGCAGTTTCCATCACTTCCTCACGGAAATGACAGACCTAATTTGGCAAAAGGTGGGCGGAGTATCTACCGGCGTGACCATTCCAAGTGGTCGCGGATCTTGACACAACATTGCAGCAATTTTTATACAGGAGATATGGCTCCAGATTTACCCCCGAAAATTGTTGTTTATATATATAAGTCCCTTTCGTATTAAGTGTATAAAACAATATGGGAAATAGGGGGAAAAGCAACTTTCTGGTTCTTCCTTGGTTCCTCAAGTTCCTACTTAAACATCAAAGTAGCATTGATAGGTTAGAACCATATAATTCATATAAAAAACAAATGGTTGTTGTAATGTTGACGTCAACGTCAGCTTAAACAGAAAAAGGTATATCAGAGGAAAATTGAACAAGTATGAGTTAAATCACATGATGTAACAAGAAAAACTTTGGCGTCTTAATTAAGCTTCCAAATGAGGTACGTCCAGGCTTTCCCGTTCCATGAACCGTCTGTTTTCTAAGATACAATTACATAAGATATATTACCATCTTTTTGGTGTTGGGTACATCAAAGGATTACGCTGTTTTATACACGTCTAAAAGTCGAAATAGTGGTAAGTGTTTTTAAAAAGGTAGTGGAGTTTTTTTTATCATAAAAGTTTTCTACAAAAACTTTATCAAGAATTTAGTAAATTTAGTAATTCAATGAAAAGGGAAAACTAAACATGGTTTACATTTATTGCACAATATAAACATTTTGTCAAAAGAGAACTCATTAATCGTACATAAGGAAAACATAAAACATATATTGTATAAACGTTACGAAACATGTAGAATATACTCAAAGGAAAAGGTAACTGTATAACTCCTTATAAACAACAGATGATACAATTTAAAATTAGCCGGTATCCCTGTATTCATATGACCTTACGTGCTACAAGGACGTAGAAATGAAATTTAATAACAAAAATCAGTCTCCCTTACAACGAAAATTGAAACTGCAAACGTAATTACAAAGCAGAAATGTCAAACAGTGTAACTCCCTTCGAAGTGGCCAAGTGTTATAATTGTTTTAAGATATTAGTTCAGCTGTACATTTAAGGCTTCTCTATTTAATTAACGCACTGTGTATTGTACCACTTGCACATAACTTGTTTTGTTATGTAATGAATTCCGATAGTCCTTTTCGATTATGTTTCCAAGGCAGTGGGTTAATAAAAACACATTTGTTTTATTTTCATATATTTCAAAGCAATTGTGATGTCAACCTGGTAGGTTGAAATGTTATCTGTCAATTAAATAATTCTGGAATCGCGTAACATAATGTGTATTGATAAAAAAAGGTCCACAGTTAATTTAAATATTTGATGTAGATTTTGGATAAAGAATTGTGAACCATACAGCAATATAAATGATTATCTAGTCTATGAATATCATATATGTATTTTAAATATAAAATTTATATGCTATGTCAGAAACAACAACAACAACAACAACAACAACAACGACCGTGGACCCTGATACATTCCTAAGAAATATATGTCTAAACAGGCCACGTGATGTGTTTCACCTAGCAGATCCACGAGACGAAACTAAGTTTGTTCAATGTGATGCGTTCAACGTTGCCTATTTAAGGTCCTGTGGTATAGGTAGAGTTTGGAGTGTCACTTTTAGAACATGCGTGCGTCAGTAGAACTGGATAGAGGACTGTTTCATTGATTGGTGTATTTTCTAAATACAGCATTTTTAGATTTTACTAAACTTCTAGAAATATGATAATCTCATTATTTCATGTCGTAATTGTACGCCAGAGCCTATTGTAGCCTGGTTAGTATACATTGTCGTTCTAGTACAATTCATTATTTAGCTAAGTACACATATTCTGTAATGCAAAACTTAATATTGCTTCAATGGAACATTGTGGGATGTTCAGTTATATACCAATGGTGTATGGTACCTGACAACAGTGGACTTTCCTACGATACAGTTGTACATAAACCAATGGTGTATGGTACCTGACAACAGTGGACTTTCCCACGATACAGTTGTACATATACCAATGGTGTATGGTACCTGACAACAGTGGACTTTCTTACGATACAGGCGTTCATACTTTTGTCTTAGGTATATTTTCCATCATTAAACTGTCACTTCCCTTTTAAATTGCTTTGTTATTTTTTTTTTATAGAATTACATCATAATTATGGAATTTTCTGCGTAAACTTTTAAGCATTTACTAGTATTCCTTTTATCATTTGTTAGCATTCTTCTCACGATTTAGAAAGTGTAGAAATGCATACGTAATTCAACGGCATATGCTGCTACAAAGACGCCTTTTCTTTTCTTCTTGATTATTACGAAGTCATATGTTTGACCGCTGACAGAAAATTGGTTTATAAAGATCAAACACTATAATGAAAGTTAGCTCAACTGACACGAAATTCCGTTAGGCTGGCACTATAGTTATCTACATTTCCGTTAAAACCTATACATTCAGAATGGCTGGATTGATGTTGACTACAATGGTATGAGTTACACCTTACCCCAGGTCCCTTCGAGTCAGGTCTTCAGAGTATATTCTGTTCGGAGTGATTTAAAATCTAAGACGTCAACCCTTTTTGCTGATCAGCTTTTAGGGATTTGGCTAGTTGTAAGTGTCACTGAGTGATTTTATAAAAGAAACGAATAAGGAATCAGTTATATGTTTCAGACCTTGAAAAAGTTGGAACTTTTCTTTGTTGGAGGTAGGAAGTACGCTGTGCCTTTTTTATTTTAAAATGGCATAATAAAGTTACGCATCTGACAGCGCTTCACTCGTCGAATGGTTGTCCAATGGCACTCAAACACAAAAGATATGTCTGTTTATGGTATTCTACACAAACTAAACTTTTATACAATTTCGATTTTCTAATAGATGCTTCACTTTTCTCTTTTCTAGTGATCATTTCTTCTGAGTTGAGGTCAGAAATCTAACTAAATTTCTTTACATGTTTTTGTTTCGGAGTTGGGAATCAGTCAGATGTACTATTTTAAAGTACACTTTTTCACACACACACAATTACTTGTTATTTGAATTGCTGACAGCTTTAAAGGCAACACTGATTTATGTTTACTGTCTATGAATACCTGAATTTCGATGCAGCTTTTATTTAGAACTTCACTTACTACTTTGTATATGAATGTATACTTAACAATACAACTCATTTCATAGCTGTTACGGGCCGAGCTAAAAACCCAATGTCACTAACAAACACGTGTGTCAAGCATGGATGATTTATTCAGGATGGATTCCTTTACATACGGTTCTGTTCTATTACTGAAGTAGCGCATTACTTAACACACGCACAACGCAAGGCTACCAAGCGAACCAACAGTTATATTATACTAAATATAAAAACAATGTCCTCTATCTATGAGCAACGTTCATTGGACAATAAAGCCCAAGAAACATTGATACTTAGCTGTCAAATAGCGACCTTTTTGTTTTCTGAAATCTTTTCGATACAGAGTATCAACATCGCAACATGTAAACGCCCATGCTTCCGCTTCTAAATCCAAATAGATATATGTTATAATCAGCCCAATTAATCTTAAACTTTCGGATCAAAATACACTTGTGTCCTGTGAAATCACAAATTTTCGTTGGTTTTTTAATTTGGTTAATTAAAATTAAATTAACATTACAACCAAGGTACTCGCATCATCAATAGACGATTTGTCAATTTTATTATGTCGAAATTATCGGGCTGTTGACCATTGCAGCATGGAATCCTATTTCTATGAAACCGCAACGTTTGACGGGTAATGCGATTTTTATTCCCAGCGAGACCCATACTCGTTACCAAACAAGGACAAACTAAAATATCGACACTCCCTTAGTAACGATTGCTGAAAGAGATAGGGAAATTCTCAAAAAAAAAAAATTTTTTTTTTATCTCAATCGAAAGCTTTTTAACTTGTACTGTCAGCTTTAAAATGTGTATTTAGGTTTCATAAAATTACAAATCGGTCAGATCTCGAGTCAAAAATTGAACATAAAATTGTAATTCGATGTAGTCAGGTAATGAAATATGATGGAATAATTCAAGCCCTGTGTAAGCGTTTTAGCAACACTGACTCAACAATAATGGAGTGACTTGGGCAGACAGTTAAAGCAAACCTGGGTTAATGGTTGGTGAGTGAACACCCAAACATAATTTCCACTAACTGATGGTATCTCACACAATAACACATCAGTAGATAATGCTCGTTACTTCGTTATTTACCGTCCTCTCACAGATAAAAACATCTCTTTTACAGAATTCCATATGTATCAAACTGATATCTGTTCGAGAATAAGTTTTAACATGTTTTTCCGATGATTTTTTATTTAACAATGATGATAACATATGATTTTTCTTGATAACAATTTTGAATAATTTTCCAACAATTATTTTGTAATGTGTCATATCTACAAAATACAGAATCACATTAAAATGACAATCAATTATTGACCTGGAGAACTGTTTCTCCAAACTTATCGTTGCAAAATGAAATAAATGCAAAAGTGATAAAGAAAAAACATTTCCCCAGATATTTTTTTTAATATTTATATACTGCTTGCAAATAAGGAGATATATACATAAAAATATTTTGATAGGGGCTGCCAGCGTTGGGGAGTCCTGTGGTCAGCCCCCGAACAGTATGGTGTCTTCACACAGGAGGGCTCTCAATCTTCATTCATCATTCACTTTCTTTCTGGATTTAATTCAGACTATCATATATGGATTGAACGGCGTTTCTTTTTTTGTTTTCATGTCGGTATGAATGAAAATCGGTTACATCCATATTGCATGAAGCCCGCTAGACTCTCATTGAACAAGGTTAATATATGACGTCATAAGTAAACCACGTGTTACGTCACGAGCTTTTTTGCTTTCGTACTAAAATGAAATACATTTCTGCTGGTAATATGTAAATATATTTCCATGTGGCCTATTTGTATTGAGTAAGATAAATATGGAGGGTTTCAGGAAATCAAACATGTTCAGATACAGTACAGGACAGGACACAAACATATTTCCCGCTTTTCCACAAGTTCACACAACCAACATGATCCATATACAACATAACATTATAATTATTGACAAGAGATAAACTGGGTAAATAAACAGAACACTAGTATAAACGATTACATAGTACACATGTACTTAATGTGCTTAATGGTCGTTTTCAGTCTATGTTTCTAGAATATCCTTTGATTTCCATTTCATTTCAGCTATGCTATATTCGCACATTAGTTTTTATTATTTATTGTAACATACATGTCTTTACAACTTTTCTTGGTTTTCATATTTTCTTTTAAATGGTTTGTTAGAAACGTTATTTCAACAGTGTTTTCAGCAGTTTGAAGTTAAATTGCCTTTATCTTTGTTTAGTTTATTGGCATATACTTTGATAAATTAAGAAGCTTTCCGAATCGATATTGAATTTTCGTTTAAAGTCTGCGAAAGTTGAAAGAATTACCTTTGATCACATACATTTTGAACAATCTTTTAAACCATGTCTACTTTTAAAAAATACCTATTTTCAATGCAGAAAATTGGATTCTACCAAATACAAATCGTAAATAAATGCTCAATTGTTTCACATGCATTTGTGTTTCTTCTAAAATGTATATACATGACTGAATAACATTTGACCATAAGGGGTTTCTGGTTTGATTTTTTTTAATGAAGTCAGTACCAAAATCTGACATATTGATGGCTGGAAAATGTTCTGCTTCAAATCAATTGGTCCAACATCTATCATTACCCTTGAGCAATTCTCGAATCCATGTTGACTTATGAATGGTAATAAAACTCTTAATATAAATCATTGTAAGACCCCCATTCACATGGTTTTGGACTATTGTGAACATTTTTTTTTTCAACTGGTTATTGCTAAATGAAAATTGAAAAAAGTAGTGTTCAATTATTGATTAAAACTATTTTCAGGTATAGGAACAGATATGAATAGAAAATTAAATCTTCGTATAATGATTGATTTTCATACTGCTACCAACCAAGAAGTGTTAAAATTCTGCGTGACCATTGCTTAATAATATTATTTACATTTTTATGAACTGTTGTTTAAATCAAAGTTAAAATCTCATAAAGATCCATTGAGAAATAAACACATGGCAAGTTGTTTCCCAGTCCCGATACTTCCCCAAAGCAATCTAAAATATTCCACGTTTCGTTGAATGAGTTTCTAGGTCCATCTAAAATTATTGAAGTATTATCTGAAAACGTAAAAGCTTGTTATCTCTGATAGATATGGGGAGACAGGGTCCACCTGTCAACAACCCCTTTTATATCACAGAAATTTGACAGTATACAATGTTGGCTTATTGCAGAGAAGGTATTTGTGTATAGTGTGTTATCCATTTTATAATCCTTTCAACAAAATTTAAAATAAAAAATGAACTAAAGATTCCATGAAACAGAATAAAAATCTTTTTTCGAAATCTGTAAATATAAAAAAAAATTGCTGCTACGTTCTTTAACTCTGTATTTCCTTTCGCCATATAATTATGTCTTTTATAATTAGGATGAAACATTCTAAATGGTTCTAATCAATTTTTTCCTCGATCAGTTTAAGAGGTCTTGTACGGGCATTGTGGTTGATGATATTTATGTAATTGTTTGTGTCTTTTTTCTGAACTAAAACTTAATTGAAGTCACCACAAATAATGCATCTCGGGCTGTTAAAATTAATATTCTGCTCATATATTTCTTTACAAAAATCCGGACCACCTTTATTTGGCGCATATATAAATTAGTGAAAATCTATATTTCCAATGCTTACATCAAGGGCTATTACATTTCTTTCTTTGTCTTTTAAACTGCTGTGAATCTCAAATTCAAAACTATCATTAAAAATGTGGAAACTCCCCTTGAATTGTTTCTGTATGAAAATATAAAGTAAGCAAAATAAAAACAAACATAAACATATCGTTATCATTTCCTGTATCAACAAGCATAAATATGTACGAACATTATATTTTATTAGTTAGTCCGAACAACAGAAGGAAAATCAAGGCAATGCTACATTCAGAGAAAAAGACGGTCAGTGGAGGACGGAATGTCAAATTATGTGTATACATGTACGCTCATAAAAATAATAATATT